GTCTCTACTGTTCGACTCCTGAGGGATTTGCTGGCCATTGTGTACAGTTCTTAACTGACCTTGCTTTCGATGTTGCTGCTGTTGTGCTGTGGCTGGAGCGGTCGAACCTGTAGGCTGAAGCTCCGTCCGTCTTGACCGGTGTCCTTATTGGCGTTGGGTCTTGTTGCGCTTCTCCTCTTTATCCCGCCTTTGCAGAGACGTCGTGCCCTCCACGTTGTCACGTCACCTTTTCCTTCTCTAACCGCTCAGTGAGACTTATAGCCCCACAAGTTGGGCGCCACCTTTTTTCTGTAACCGTCCAGCCCTTTCGTTGGGCTCCACCTTTTCTCTCCGTAACCGTTCTTACCTCACCTTCACTCCCCCCCCCGTTGGTTGGTTGGTTAGTCACGCGTTGTTTGTCGCTCCTCTCCTTCTTTCTTCTTCTTCTTAGGTTGGGCGCCAGTAAGCTCAGGTGGTGTCGGCTTACAATAGTCGGAGGTTTATTTTGGAAAGGGGGTAAAGGTGATAGTCAACTAGTTCAGCTGTGGGTAGAGCTGGGATCCTTCTCAGAGCGTTTGCTAGGGCCTCGCTTAGGACGGGGAGGGAAGCAGTTGTTCCAATGCTACTTTGCACTTAAACACTGTGACCATTTATTGAGATCAACAATTTCCTTCGCCTGATGACACACAGTCAATACAAAGGATGCTTATATATAGTAGGTCCTTATCTAGCACAGTCCTGGTATAACGGACGTTATTATTACAATTTACACTTTCTTTAGCGCTCTGAATTGTGGTTATACAGAACAGTGAAAAACACAGATTTTGTTTCCGAATTATTTACGAGTAGCAGGCACTTGGCGACTGTTTGGCAACTGTTTGTCAACTAACTTGTGACTCTTTGTCTGAAAACACTGTGGTCCCCTGGACGTCAGTTTCTCCGCTAAGTCACTCCCCATTAATTCCACTGATTGGGTAATTTTGAGAACTGGGGTTTACACAATTTCTGGATCTCCAATCAGCTAGCTGCAATTTGGGGCTTTGACCCTTAAAATCGTAACTTCGATTTTGACAGTACACTGATAGATAACCTGCTTGGCGTGGGTTTCAAAAGTGCCTACTTTTAAGTTACGACATGCAGGACCTGTCAGTGATCAAATTCTCAAAGTTTGCTGCCGTGCTACTCACAAACAAAATTTCTCAGAAAAAGCCACAGGGGGTGCTTCCTGTGTAACATCAAGATTTGGAATAAGTCCATTCCTGAAAACAAGAATGTGACTATGTCCCACTGGCTTTGGTATTACTTGTTACCTCCAATTAATTTTTGTTACCGATCATTCTAATTATACTTAAATTAGTGAGTTACAGTGGAGCGGTTACAAAACGTCAATCAGGGAAGCCATGTTCCAGTCATATATGAATTGAGTGTTACTGCTATGCTAAACTGTTTGGTGTGCTTTTTCTAGTTGCTACATGAATCATATATAAATTATGTAAAAATATTCTTATGTGTCGTTTATTCATTATATTAGACTCATAAATCAAATGCCATTGCAATTTCGACTTTCTATGCATTCTAAAATGGTATCAGTAATATCATTGCTTCATGGGTAATTTGCAGATTGTACCATAATGTGTAAAGGTAAATTTGTCTCTATACTTAATTAAGCAACACACCATGGAAGTACAGTCAACTCTCGATTATCCGGGGGCGGATTAACCGGTTTGCGGCTTAACCGGGGCTTTTTTTTTTAAGTTTATATGTTGTTTAATATTCATTCACTTTTGTTTCACATGGTGAGTTGTAACACTATTTTCGCACTAGTGTGAACCGAGCTCTGCATTATTTCGTCCCGTTATGCGAACACAATGTTCTAGGGTGGGGGTGAAAGAATGCAAGAATTTTTGGAAAGTTTCAAGGACAAATACACCGCCCCAGGTTATTTAACGGTACCATCTCAGTGTGAGAGTGCATTGTGAAAGTAAGTATCAGTTTCTTAATATAGATCTTCAAGTGCGTTAGCAAAATGTCGGGGTTTAAAAGGAAGCGTGTTGTGTTAAGTATTCAACAGAAACTTGAAATTATCAATCAGCTGGAAAAAGGAGCTGTAGTTAAACAATTAGCAATGCAATACGGTATTGGAGAACAAACTGTTCGTGATTTGAAAAAACAAAAGAATGAGTTAATTTCCTTTGCTTCGTCTTCTAATTCAAGCGGAATGAAGAAGAGAAAAACCATGAAGAAATCAACATACGATGATCTCGACAAAGCGATGCTGACCTGGTTTAATCAACTAAGGGCACAGGGAACAACAATAACAGGACCAGTTTGTGCTAAACAAGCTAAATATTTTTTCGAAGCACTTGAACTAGAAGGGAGTTTTGACGCTTCTTCCGGTTGGCTAACACGTTTCAAGCAGCGTCATGGAATACGAGAAATCAGTATTCAAGGTGAGAAATTGTCAGGGGACTTGTCAGCATCAGATCAATTTTGCACCAATTTTGATAGTTTTGTGAAAAGTGAAAATCTGCTGCCAGAACAAATCTATAATGCCGATGAAACGGGTCTTTATTGGAAATGCTTGCCAACCAGAACATTGGCATTTCAAAATGAAAGACAGGCTCCAGGTCACAAATCCAGTAAGGAGAGATTGACAGTCTTGTGCTGTTCTAATGCATCAGGAACACACAAACTAATACCAGTAGTTATCGGCAAAGCGAAAAGACCACGCTCTTTTAAAGGAACAGTAGCTTCAAGTCTGCCTATCCATTATTTTAACCAGAAAGTAGCTTGGATGAATAGAGCGATATTTAAAGAATGGTTTGATTTTAAATTCGTGCCTCAAGTTCGTGACCATCTAAAATCCCAAGGCCTACCTGAGAAAGCTGTGCTCCTCATTGACAATGCGCCCTCACATCCTAACGAAAGTCTCCTGAGGTCAGATGATGGAAATATTTTTGTGAAATATTTTCCCGCTAATGTTACCGCACTTATCCAACCAATGGATCAAGGAGTTATCTCAAGTATGAAGAGAATCTACAGATCAAATTTGCTACAAAAGTACATCGATGAAGGCAATGATCTGACGTGTTTCTGGAAGTCCTTTTCAGTATTAGATGCCATATACGAGATTTCAACAGCGTGGGATACAGTAAAGCCATCTGTATTGAAAAATTCATGGAAGAAACTGATGCCTTTCATCACTAATGAAGATGACGAAATCCATGGATTCACTGGATTCAGTGAAAATGAGATAGCCATAAAATTGACAAAAGTGGCTAACCAAGTTCATGGTGGTGAAGAAGTCAACGAGGAAAATATAAGAGAGTGGTTTAACTGTGACTCGTGTGAACCGGGCTTCGAAATGTTAAGCAGTGACGAAATCGTAACTTCAATGGGGGTGCAGCCAGAAGAGCGGGAAGAAAGTGAGAATGAGGAAGAGGTGGACAGTGTTGCCAGTAAGAAAGTATCACATGGTGCTGCGCTTAATCATTTGGAATCCTTACTAGACTATCTTGAGAGTGAAGAGGACAGTTTATTAAGTGACAAGCTAATATTACGTAGGCTTCGTACGGATATCCGTAAAAAGGAAAATGCCGCGAAAAAGCAAAAGACAGTATTAAATTATTTTAAGTGTTAAGTGTGACCGTAAAAAGTGCTGGATGTTGTTGAACAGTGATTGAAATAACTAATTCATACTGAGTGTAATGTAAAGAAAGTATTAAATAGGCCATGAGATGACATAGAAATGAGGATGAATAAATTTAAATACAGGTAGGTCTATAGTATTATGAAGGTATTAAAAGGTAAAAGGTAAAGTTGTTCCTCTGCTCAACGAATTAAGCCCTACGCCATTAAGGCGTGTGGGGGAGTGGATGTATAGATCCAAATTTTCTTGACCTCGGCACTAGTTGGAGGTGAGTGGTCAGCTTCACGCCCCGGCCGCTTTACCCCCGGGGAAAGAGCCCCCGGTACCCATTGGATAGGAGGTTGGATGGACCCCAGAGCCGGTCTGGACGATTTGGAGAAGTTAAAATTCTTGACCCTACCGGGACTCGAACTCCGACCCTTCACAGTCGTCCAGCCCGTATAATAAAATTTGGCTTAACCGGGTTTTCGATTAACCGTGACTTCCATCCCCACCATTAGCCCAGATAATCGAGAGTTGACTGTATGTGAGGGAATGGAGATGCAGCTCCACGCATCTGTAACATCAGCACTAGATGGAGGTGAGTCCTAAGTTCCCCAACTTGGTGACTTGACCCCCAGGGAATGAGCACCTAGTGCTGTTGAATAGGAGGCTGGATGGGGCCCAGATCTGTGCTGAACATTTTACAGGAAAGTCTCTTGCCTCAGCTGGGAACTGAACAATGGTTCTACAGTCATCCAGCCCATGGCCTATTCATTATACTGGCTGAGCTGTTCTGGTTCCTGCCATGATGATGTGTCTACATTTTCATATTTAAAATAATGCAATAATTTTGCAGTGTATAATAAATGAAGCAGATTTTTTCCTGCTGCAGGTTAGTGACTTATGGGTTGATTATTTGTGCAGCACTTTGTAGGTATAATTCAAGATTCATGGCCATGACTGCAAAGATGGCTGTATTTTCTCTCTTCTTAGAGAAGTAACACCCATACTGTAATGTTTCTGGGCCACACAAGAATATGCTTGTTATGTACTGAATGTCGTTATAATATGCCGTTATTCTATTTTCTGTTATGTTGCCACTTCCAACTAGTACCAAGGTCAAGAATACATGGCTCTATACATTCACTCTCCCATACGTCTTCATGGTGCAGTGCTTAATTAGTTAAGCTAATGGACACCTTTACCTGTACGTTACCAGTATTTTATATTGACGTTTGTTTACTGCAGAGTAAGTTAAAGCAGGACAATGGGATATTCTCTCGTGAGTTATTCATGAGTTATTTCATAGTTTCTGGCTACATAATGATGAATTATATGTGGTTAATTGGTGTATTGTTGATTTAAGAAGCCATTTTAACATATTTTGCAGGATTGTTACAACGTTTGGAAGAAGAAACAAATGTAAACACTTACATCGTGAAACAGAAACTTCCTAAAGAGATAGATGCTCGGCATAAAGAAGTTGAAATTCTTCAGTTCATATTGTCAGAACCAGCAATGAGTAGAGGAGATCTGGATGCTCTAAACAGTAAGGTAACGTGACCATGTTACAGCAAGTTCATTATTGAAAGTAAAGGTAAAGTTGTCCCTATACTTAATTAATTAAGCACTATGCCATGAAGAGATACGGGGGAGTGGAAGTGTAGCCCCGCCATTCTTGGGCTTGATACCAGATGGAGGTAATGTTCATGCTCCAGCCACTTTACATCCCCCAGAAAATTGCCACAGTACCCATTGGATAGGAGGCTGGGTGGGTTCCAAAGTCTGCCTGGATGCTGTGAAGAAGAGAAAATTCTTGTCCCTGCTGGGAATCAAACCACAGCCATCCAGTCTGTAACCAGTAGCTACACACACTGAGCATTATGTGTTATTAAAACATTTTCTGTTTATTGTAGCTCCTTATAGCCCCAGTCTTAATCTGAAGAACAGCGTACCATATTTATCTGACTAATATGACTCCTCCCAACAGTGGGAAAATTTTAAAGAAAAAAAGTGTATTCTCCAAATAAAAACTTTCAGTACAGTTTTCTAAAATAAATATAATTTTGTTTCCTATCTCTGCATAATGGTCCAGTTTATGTCCATAACATGCTTTTCTTTTAAAACCTGTATCTAGTAAGAGTTCTTTGCCTTTCATCTGCTACCATACAGCAATCCCAGAAATGTGTAGTTCCTGGATACTATGCAGCTATTAGTCTAGCATGATGACATCTTTTATACATAAATGATTTACCCCAACATATAACAAATGGGGAGGTTGTCCTCTTTGCAGACAATACCAATATATTGGTTACTGATAAAGATAAAAGCATCCTTCAAGATAAAATAAAGAGAATTATGATCCAACTGGAATCTTGGTTTTCAAAAAACAATATGATTATAAATAATGATAAGACTAAAGCTATGTTATTCCAGTTAAAGAAACTGCATGACATCTCAGGGCCAGATATTGTTTTTAATAATATAAAAATTAAGTATACATCTCAGTTTAGACTTTTAGGTATTAATATAACTCAGAATCTCAGATGGAGTGTACATATTCAGTCCTTGTGTTCAAAATTGAATAAGGTATGTTATATTATTAAATCTTTGAAAGATGAGGTAAGTTTACATATACTCAGGAATATATACTTTGCCAAATTTCAATCGTTGGTAAGTTATGGGTTGATTTTTTGGGGAGGAGAAAATGAAAGTATTAAAGTCTTTAAAATACAAAAAAGGATGCTTCATTTCATCAAAGGTGTAAATAACAGAGTGTCATGCAGACCTTTATTTAAAGAATTGAAGATTTTAACTATTACGTCCTTGTACATCATAGAGGTGTTGTGTTATTTTAAGAGATATAATATATACACTACGAGAAATACTGATTTATACGAGTATAATACTAGGAGGAAAGATGATCTTCATGTACAACAATGTAACACATCAGTTTTTAAGAAAAGTGTTATTAATGTGGGCATTAAATTATATAATATACTTCCTTTGGAAGTTAAAAAGTCAAAGGGATGTAACGAATTTAAACATAAATTAAAATTATTTTTATTTGATCGTCCTTTCTATACATTGAATGAGTTTCTTCAACAGGGACATGAGGAAGCATAGCAAGGTTTTTTTAATTAACAAAAAAAGAGAAGAAAAGGGAATTGTAGTAGTTATTGTTATATTTTTAAAATTCTTAGTGATGTTGTAAGGCAAGTACAGTTTTATTTTTAGTCTAATACATTCTAGGATTATAGAGCTTTTAACAATGATGTATTTAGTGAGTTGACTTGTTCAAGTGTTGCAGTTGTAACAGTATGAATGCAAATAAATATGAATATGAATCTGAATATGAATATGAACTGTATGCCAATGAATGATTCTGTATACAAAATGTCTCACTTGCTTCCTCGTGGTCTTTTATGATCACATAATTTGATTTTTAAACATTTAAAAAATATTGTCATCACTGTTAGCTGTTTGTATGTCATACCTCAAAATAGTCACCACAAAGGATTATTTATTATTAAAATTATTAATGGGATGTTAATCAGTAGTGCCAGATTTTGTACTACAAATTCCAAACAGACTTCGCTGGAATCACCCTGTAGAGAAAGTCAGTAATCTAACTTCCTGCACTATGGCATGGCCTTAAGTTTATTATTAAGACATGTAAACCTAAACATACAACTGCTCATATATGGTTTGAAGCTTTCATGGTGACAGTATACTGTGAAATCTCCTGTTGTGACCAGCTGTGTTATTGACATGGCTGATTGCCTGCAAAGATTTCATTGTATACAGCTGCTACATAGTTAATTACAAAGTGTTTGACTCCCTTAATTCAGTTATATGGATGTTTCACTAAGTATTTGTAGTTTTATGGACAGCATAATATGACTAATATCATCATGATAATATGATTATAGTTCCTTTTCTGTCACATCCATATTATCTGCTTCTCCTCCTTGGTATCTTGAATGTATAGAGTTTGTGTATTTAATATAGATTCAGGCAGTGAATAATGAAGTGAACCAATTGGTGGAACGCCATCTGGCTGCAAATAATCCAACTGATGATAAGTTAGCACCATTCCGACAGCAAGCTGCTATCATTGCCCGTAAGAAAGAAACAACAGCAGAACAGTTAACAGAACTCAAGAACAAAATGGCAGCAATAGAGGAAGAGCTTCAGGTTAAGTATTGCACTGTAACATGCAGTTATGCTCTCAAGAATTTAAGATATGGATTACACTGTTCAAAAAGTTCTTGTCACACACATCTTTTTAGATGATCTGTGTGTATGTTTTATGCTGACTACAAAAAATGGAAAAAGAATTTTTCTATTACCTATAATTTTTCAGTGTTACTCAAACTTAGAATAGAATAGAGAAGGGGGTCTGCTGCTTGCTTCTCATCTGCTTTATAAGGTTCTTCATTCCACTGTTTGCATGTTCAGGTTTAGGACAAGTCATACATATTTGGTTTTGTCACACTTTTTCAGACACCTGATTTTTCTCAGTGAGTTCTATGTACTTTATTTGTGATATTTCTTAATTCCTAATAACTTGCATTTATCTTTTTGTGCAAATCTATGTGTATTATTCCATGCCAAATGTCAAATAAACGTGTCTGTCATCAAAACAATTTCTCATATGTGTGCAAGAATTAACTTCAATATCAAATGTGAAATTTCACCTCTCTTGTCAAAAATTTGATGAATGTTTTGGTTGTAAGGTGGGAATGAGTCCATGACGTAGGCACCTCATATATGTTATGTGGTTAAGACTTCTGACAATCTGTCTAGGTGGGTATCATCAAATGTTATTTGCTGTTCCAAAGAGATGGAGATAGCTGGAACACAGTTTAATGATATTATTTCTGCTTAAGAAATACATATATTAGGCATCAGGCACATCAACACACATTATCATTAGAGGGATGCTGCAAGAAATGACCAAGTACATGTTGTAACAGACTTATGTGATCGCAAGTAAGATACGACCCTGTGCATCACACCAGCAAGACACGATATGTCATTAGTCCTGTACCATATTAATTTTTAAATATTGATGCTGTGTTATTATGAGATCTATTTCAATTGACTCATATATAAAAATATTTTAAATAACCTAAGTAAAATTATGAAAAACTTTCTTTTAACATTGGACGCTCCAGAACATGCCTGTATGAGGCTGAAACATGTTGGGGTTTATAATTATTTAGGTTATGGTATTTTATATTTATTTGGATGTTGGGCATTGTTGCAAAGTTTGCATGTATGGTAAAATACCTTAATTTACCGTCAGTCATAAGGCATGCTNTTGCTTCAGAAGGTAAGGACTAGTTTCGGCAGAGTTTATAGTGACAACTGTTTTGTGTGATCGTTGTTTTTGCAATGGCTGATTTTCGTGAACAGCGTGTGGCGGTGAAATTCTGCTTTTTGCTCGGGAAAAGTGGAACAGAAACTCTTGAAATGATAAAAACGGCATACAAGGATGATGCTATGGGGAAAACTCAAGTGTTTGAGTGGTTTTCCTGTTTCAAAATTGGTGAAATATCAATTGATGACAAACCTCGTTCTGGTCGTCCTTCCACGGCCCGAACACATGAAAATGTTAAAAAAATCGTGAAATCATCAAGGAAGATCGACGACAGACCATTGAAGAAATTGTGGAGCTGTCGGGAGTGACTTGGTGTCAGAATTGCTTTACGAACTTAAACACGCCTCAACGAATTATACTGCTACAAAATGGGAAACAAGATATGCAACGAATAATGGAAATGCTGGCAAGAATTGACGCCAGCATGAGAGCCAACCAAGAAAAGGAGGAGGCCAATAGAAAGAAAGACAAAGAATATTTCATGGCAAAATTAGACGCCAACCGAGAAAAAGTAGATGCCACACTTGTGGCTGGCACCCATTTTTTCTCACATGGCGGCCGTCTTTGCTTGGATTCCTTCGACTATTAATACCGCCACAAAATGGATGCACAGCAGATGATGGAACTCCTGCTGAAAGAGATGAGGACCTGGGGAGAAAAGTTGGATGCAGAAACAAGAGCTACCCAAGCTAAGACGGAAGCCGGCCATAAAGAGTTGCTGGCCAAACTGAGCGCCGATAGGAAGACTGACAAAGAAGATTTCCTGGCAAAATTAGATGTCAACCAAGAAAAAACAGATGTCATGCTGGCAAAATTAGACGCCTACCAAGAAAAGGCGGCGGCCGATAGGAAGGCCTCAATGCGAGCTATGCGGTCAGAGTTGGATGAGACACTCCAACATAGAATTGAAGCTATCCAAGCAAGGACAGAAGCCATGCAAAGGAAAATGGGCACCAGCCACATGGAGATGGTGTCCACGTTTAAACCCGAAATAGAGGAAGAGACGATAGCCTGCCAAGAAACGACAGAGGTGCGTCTAGAAGAGGAAGAGCCTCAGTGTACACGAAACCTGAGGTGGCACAACAAGAAGAGGTCCCTGTAGAAGATGCCGAAATAATACCGGTTGGAGAACCGAAGAAGAAATGGCGTAGGGACCGAAAACTGGCCGCGGAGCAACGCTGTCAGGAACTGAAGTATAAGAAACGGGAAAAGTTTGGATCCCAGAAGAGATTGGCCGTAGCGTGCAGAGGGACAAGCCACCATGCAAAAGTGGCACAGAAAACACAAATCGACTGGAAGGTGTCCCGCCGTGCAGCAGTGGCACGACGCAAGAAAGACTTCCTCAGGGCGAACAAGACCCAGGAAAAGTGTTGATCACGGAAAGAACTGGCCACTGAGAGAATCAGGATGATCCGCCGAGCAGAAGTGGCATGGTGTAGCAGTCACAGGGACAATGCTGCAGCAAGACCCCAGAAAAGGCAAGAGCTCCGGAAGCGACGTCGAGCACTCCCGGGAGACAACAGAAGAATAAGGAGCCGAAACTTCAAGGAACCCATTCCTAGGAGTACGAAGACATTACACGAGGCCCTTGGACAAGCTCTCGAGTCGGAGGGCATGAAGGGAACCATCCGGATTTCCAGTAGATTAAGAGGGGTGAGACACTGGACACTGTGGAGGGGTCGACCCCCTCCGAAACGAAAAAAAATGAAATAGCACAGAGGAGGAGCCGGTAACGTAGAAGCACCGGTCTCCACGACAAGAGTGAATGAGGAGTGAATGAGCGACGAATGAATGTGATACAACTGGATCTTTGGGCACATTAGTAGGAAACTGCTAGCGTCTAGCTGGTCTTGGAGAAAGAGTGGAGGATGTAATGGCCAGAGAATAGTCACTGCAAGAGTAGTAGCCGAAACAACAGGAGACACAGCAATCACAGCAACAGGAAGAAAAAGGAACGATGATGTACCATTAGGCAGTTTGGGACGAACAACCTTTAGAAGGGAGCAGTGTGACATGGATGGCGCAATGGGAAGTGGGGGTCATGTGAACTCTGCGTTTCCTTGAGTGACATCACATACCCCCACTCCTTCCACCAGTACGCAACGCTCGGTAAACACCCCACCCCTCCCACCCCATGCTGACGTGGCAGAGGAGCGGCTGCGCCAGGCAACCATTGCTGCGGTGACATAACAAGGAATAACGGTGGTTACTACTCAGCCATAAACAACTCCCGACAGCGTTGCCAGCAACACCTGTAAACACAGCGACTAGGCAACAACGAAGTGAGGAGTTTTCCCGTTGTCTGGCTGAGGGTTTATAAGAGCACTACACTGCCTAAAGAGTCAGTTAAAATGTAGCAGCCGCCGAAGACAGTTGAATTGTAGTAGTCACTGAGTTCAGTTGTAACAAGTGAATCATGTTGGTGTGAAGAGATTTGTGAGTAGGGTTTGTAAAGTGTGTAAACCCGCAACCTTGTCATAATGAATTTNATTTTGCAAATATCAGAGAGGACTCATTTAGAAACTTTTTCTCAGTGCACTATGATAATGTAGGCTGTCTGATGAAAGCCTTTGGCCAACATGATCCACGTGGATTGTGTGTGGTTCTGTAATGGAAATGGACACCCTTCGGTTCCAGTTCCATGTCATTCACATGAAGGAGTCATGAAAATATGCACCTTCTCATGAAACATATCCAACATAATAACTATTTGTGGCATATCTGTGGGGACTTGAAAGTCATTGCACTTCATCTTGGTTTACAACTGTGCTGTATAAAATTGTGTTGTTTCCTCTGTGAATGGGACAGCTGGACATGGGAAAGTCATTACTCAAAAAAAGAATAGTCACTTCAACCAGTAGTTTTCTGATGTGTAGTTATCCAAGGTCAACTGTAAGTGGAGAGATGTTTTGTGGAATCTTCCAAGTATATAACAGTAAGCCTGAATATGAATTCAAAAAGAAGAATGTATTCCTGATCATTTATGCTAAAATAAGGGGAAAATATGCATGCATAATTGAAAACATTGATACCCCAAGATAAGGAGACCATGGTGAATGTTGAATATAGAAATTTGGAATGTATGTATATCATTTGCCGGTCATGGTAACCGAGCGGTCTAAGGCATGTACTGTCTTCGCTCGCTTGGAAACCGGGATTGTGGGTTCGAATCCCACTCAGGGCATGGATGTTTAGTTTGTGTGTGTGTGCGTTTTTCTGTGTTTGTGTACAGGTAGAGGCCTTGCGATGAGCTGATCACCTGCCCAAGGAGTCCTACCAAATATGTAATATTTAGAAAAACCGAAGTGAATGGAGAAGTTCATGGAGGTAGGCCCTAGGCCCACTGGGGCTGTAGTGCCAAGGAAAAAAGAATGTATATCATTTGATTGTGTAATTATCTTGAAAGCAAAACTGATGGAAAAGTTTATTAACATAATATATGTTTGTGCTAAAACAAGGGGAAAATATGCATGCATAATTGAAAACATTGGTACTCCAAGATAAGGAGACCATGGTGATTGTTTAATATAGAAATTTGGAAATGTATGTATGTCATTTGATTGTGTAATTATCTTGAAACAAAACTGATGGAAAAGTTTATTAACATGATATATGTTTCATTTTTCTCCAAATCTTTTGTTCAAAACGTTTTTCACCTCAGGAAATAGTTAGCAAGTTACACTTGAAAATAAAAATTTAAATGTTGCAGCAGTTTTCCATAAAGTTCTCCAATATCATCCAATATCCAATTCCATCAAGTGGTTCTTGAATTGTTCCATGTGCATGGATGGGTGGACTTCTTAGGTGCCCCACAGGGTACTGACAATCCCAAAAAAGGCACACAGATGAGCTGCAAATGAGATTATCTGTACATGGATAGTTGGGAATATACTATACTAAGAGTTAACCATTCAGAATTTGTTGAACAGAACACAATATCATTGTATGTGTTCAAAATGAATTACTTTCCTTGTCATTTTAAAGGCAAAATTTTATTTTTCACCAAAATAATCACCTATGGTTCATTATAGGACATCATTAAATAACAGAGAAGTATTTTTGAGCCAGGTATGTATACAAAACTAAATGTTACAAAGAACCTTTAGTACACAGATTAAATAAAATAACAGATTGTGTCATGAAAATATTTTACAGGAGAAGAAAAATCAACTGAAGGACTTTGCTGGTGAAACAGTGCTACGAGGAGAAGAGTTTAAACGTTATGTGACAAAGCTGAGAGGCCGTAGCTCACTGTACAAAAGAAACAGAACTGAGCTGTCAGCACTCAAAGCTGAGGCTGGAGTACTGACTCGCACTACTGAAATACTTCGTGCTCGAGATGAGGCTATTTTGCGAGGACTGGTATGTTTTCTAATAAAAAAATCCTTTACCTAATAATTGCTTATGTATTTATATTAAAGCAGAATGTTTATGATAATGAAGAATTTGTTTTTCACCAGTTGTGACTACGTGCGGCAAATTAAATTTCTGTGCTTAATGCTGGAATAATATGTTAAATAGGCTTTACTGTCTCTTAACCACATCTTTCCTGATTGGCCATTAGTAGTTGTTCGTGACAAATGAATAGACCCCCCCCCCCAAGAGGTATGCACATTGAATAGAGATTACACTTCCACCCCTAGCAGGAACCCATTTTTCTCTTAAAAACTACTTCTTGGTTTTGGTCTTTTACTGTTCTAGGTCATTGGGTTAAGCCAGAAACTTCAGCTTCAAAATTTCTGCTTCATGAAACAGGAAAGTTTTGTTGGTTGAACTTCTTGCTTCACCCAATGGCCTATGCTAATGAACTTCACTTTTAAATTTCAATGTTGTTAAACTGGTTCCTAATGTTCAATAAAATTATGTAATATTGAAAGCCTACTGCAGCAGTGTGTATAATTATTATTGTACAATACTTAACACTTTGTGGACCAGTGGTATATTTTTATGATTTTAGGACACGTTAGATTGTAACACACTATACCTTTCTCTGGCGCCACCAAAATGAAATGACTACCGCGTAATATTATTCCGGAATGTTTGCTTAGTAGGCAGTAACTTGATCTTGCTGTTTGGGTTCCCTCTCCAAAGGAAAATGATCTTTGACCCTTCAAGCTCTTATTTACCAGGCAGGAAGTTAGTAGTGCAATGAGTCAAGGACAGAAGCGGTTGAAAACAAAGCAATATCTGACTTGTTCTCCGACGACGAGCTATCTGACGTTCCTTCTGAGACGTGTAGTGATAGTGATTTAGACAGTGGCAGTGACGGTGACAGGGGACAACAAACAATTGTGACCACAGACAATAAAAGTGAAAGTGGGTCCGACGAAAGTGCAGGTAGTAAAATTGCGGGGACAGCCACGTGGGGAAAAGTAGACAAAATGCCTACTTTGGGACAGTTTACCGGAAATCAATAGGTGAAACAAATTCCATCGGACCCAACACAAGTGTCTGATGTAGCAGAACTGTTTTTTGGAGATAGTGATACTCGTGTTGTGAATATGATTTCCACAATTTACAATTCAAGCAGGGTTGATGTTCAAAGGAGACATGGACAAGTAAAGAAGCCTATTTGTATTTCTGAGTATAATATGTTCATGAAGGGAGTTGATAGAGCCGATCAATACCTGGCCTATTATTCTCTTCCTAGGAAAACAATAAAGTGGACAAAGAAAGTTGCCTTGTGGCTTATCAATTGTGCCATTTTCAATTCAATTTTGGTTTACAAACATCTAAACCCTGATTTGAAATTGAAATACAAAGCATTTCTGATAAATGTGGCAAAGGCCTGGGCTACAGACCAAAAGGTGGTGGCAGAACCAGAGTCAGGCACAGACTTAGTGCGACCAGGCCCATCAACTCCCACCCCATGCAATCCTCATGTGGACACCCCTGGGTGACTCTCGGGTGATATGCGGAAACATACCCTTGTGAAAATTGTGAAGAGTAAACATTCCAAGGGGAAGCATCCTTCTAAGCAGTGCTGTGTTTGCACAGTTCACAAAAAAAGGAGTATGACTGTCTACGTTGCAAGTTCTGTGTAATGCCACTTCACAAAGGGGAATGTTTCCAGAAATATCACACTCTCAAGCACTTCTAGAAGCATTGGGAAGTGTTCTCCAAAAATTTTAGTTCATAAAATTAATTAGGAGATTTTATATTCATTTTTAAAGTGAACAGTGTACAAGTTAGGGTAGTAGGTTTAAAAATGCTGGTCCCCAGGGTGATTTAAATATTTAAATTGCTGGTCTGCAAAGTGTTAAGAAAATACTGTGACATAATGTCTAAAATGCAGAATCTTGGAATCAGATAAATATCACTCAGGCATGCTTTACTATGCACTGACTGGATAAGAAACATCTCTACAGTAATGAATGTGGGCAAAACAGTTGGAAGTGGCCCTTGTAAATGGTCTACAAGAAGCCAATATAAAGCAGCATGCCAGAGCCTGTGAAAGTGTTGGCCCCTATGTAATCCGTTACGGGGTTCAAATTATGTGACCTCACAACCTAGCAGTGAGTCCATGATGACAGAACAAATGTGAATACTTGTGAAGTCTTGTAATCATTAGTAAATAAGATGATTCAGTGTCCAATGTATCCATTTATGAGCACAAACCTGTATTACACTGTCATGTGATACCTGGTGTCAGAAGTACTGAATTGTTGGATTGTAGTTTGGAACTGATGTGACATTTGGTCATGGATGGATTGGAATGTCTGCTAAACTAAGTCAGGTCTAAAAGAAGGCCAACCAGAAAATGATGGAGATTGCAATACATGCCAACTAAGAACCAATAGAGGCTACCATAAGTGCCAAACAAGAAGAGATGAAGGCCGAAGTAAAGGCTGACCAAGAAAAGATTGAGGCTGCAATAAGTACCATCTGGTCCATGCAAACTGAACTCATAGAAACCCTCAGCAAACAAGTGGAGGACCTTGATACTGAGATTTAAGGGACATGACTGGACATGCAAGTAATGAGGTTTGTCAGTAAGCAGACTCACAGCCTCTGGGAATTGGAGGACATTGATATCCAGATTTAAGGGACATGACTGGACATGCAAGTAATGAGGTCTGTCAGTAAGCAGACTCAGCCTCAGGGAAGAACATCCAAGAGATATGGTTTGACATACAAGTGACAAAGATGCTGGTAGAAGTCATGGGGTGCGAGTTTGAGACAACTGGCAGAGTCAACGCCTAAGGTGTGTGTGTAGGTTTCGGGAACATAGCAGCTGGAGCGGATAGGATAAAGCCACCAAGGTTTGATGGGTTCATTTCCTACACCCTGTTTTATTGTCACTTTCACGCCATGGTGGGGCACAACACCTGGACGGACAGCCTGGGAAAAGCGACACCCATACTGGCTGTTTTACAGGAGCAGGCTGTCAACATTCTGCATAGCATCCCTACAGAAGTGAGGTACAGACACAGTGTTGAGGTGCTCAAGGACCACTATAATGTCCACTAACTGGCTGCAGTGTACCTTTCTTAGCTGAAAGCTACAACTCATCTGAGTAGCAAGTCTTGTCAAGAGTTCATGGCCACTGTTGAGTAGTTGGGTCACTGGGGCAATGCTGGGTCATCACAGTACTTCATCCATAGGGAGGCAACTTATGCATTGCCAACAGGATAAGGGACTGAGAGGTGAAGTTCCCCCTCATGGTGGGTGGTGAGAGGATGTTTGATAAGGCTATTTGGCAGGCCCTGAGGTTGTGAAGGTGGCAGCTAGACTAACAGAAAGGCTACAGGTGGTGGGGACTGGAGTGCCCTTGGGACCATGGTCACTAGGGTCTGAGTGCAAGCAAGCGTGGGCAACCCATATGCTGGCAGTACTGACGTTCCTGCCCCCTTGTTACACCCTCAGAGAGGAGTGGTGATGACATCCTCAATGCCAAAGGCTGGATAGGGCTGGATAGTCATGCCTTTTGACCATTGAGGATGGGGGCATCAGTGACAATCACTGGGCCAGACATAACTGCAGAGCTGCCCAAGAGAGAACTGACCTGGCCATGCATCACACGGATGGCATCAGGGGAGACTCTTCTCGTCATGAAGGAAGTGCTGATAAGAGTTGATCCTGGGGTGGCACCCCCTGATGACTTGAGTTCATATATTGCTGCATGGTCTGTAGGCCTAGAACTTCATTCATGAAAGATGCAGTTTCATTACACCCACTACAAATGATTAGAGATGTGTCTGTTGTGTTGCAAAGATCATGTTATATGAGTACACTCAACACTATTGGATTCAGCACAGTCACAGTTGGGCTTTTGTGTGCCACAGCACAAAGCAAAGCACAGGACAGAACAGAGACCACAGTCACACTTATTTTTTGGTTTGGTTCTACATTTGGCACACCACAAAAACAACAACAGCAACACTTTTCCTTTGGCTGGCCAATGTAAGGAATGTTTTCTTCAAGCCAGCTCATTTTAGTCTCTGAACCACTGAACCTTGGTATCCCATGCATTTCAGTATTCTCCTTATACAGAGTGTCCCAGGAGGAAAGGCCAGTATTCTAGGAAGTCATAGTATTGGTCATTCTAAGCAAGAAAGTATATTATATGCATATGTCCTATTCTGAACAGTTTCCGAGATAAAGCTATGGATGTTATCGCCCACATAAAGGAATATCGAGATGCACTCGGATGAGCAACACGCTATGTCCTCACATTAATTGCAGAGTGCATTGATGTTGTATTTCTCTGTGGGACTTGTAAACAACATATGAATTTAAAAAGGTGGGGTCTAACAAATGGAAGAAGAGTTTTTTAAGTTATTTCCAGGTTCTCTGGCTCAAGCTGTAGCTATTCACCATCCTGTCACTGAAGTCAGTGTAACTCATATGGTTTGTGTAGTCTTTGATTATAAGACATGTGTTACCCTTGTCTCTTTAGAAAGACACAATCCTTAGATTTCTTTAACCCTGAACACAGTGTCTCCTCTTTTCAGGACTGCAATTAGGTGCTCTCTCTTTCCTGATGTTATGAATTGTACCATGTGCATTGATTTTTCTGTGGTGAAGATTGTCAAAAAGTTTCAGCAAGTTGAACTAAGTGTCCAGGGATATTTTGTGGCTGACTTTCTCAACTTTCTGTACCAGTTCTAATACAGTTCCATGTATGGGTATGACATCTGTGCTATCCAGGTTTCTTTGTTCTCTTCTGTACACACTGGTGTCATATTTGAAACCAGATCTTGTTCAAAGGTTATAAATTGTTATACCAAATCTCCTATGGTTTTTTAAATGCTATGTCAAAAGATGATTTTCCCTTTGAACTTTATGATCACTTCTTCCACTGCCGTATGTTCTGTTGGATGATAGACTTCAGAAAATTTTGAATTTATGATATCAGATATTTGTCTGACTTTCCATAGTCTGTTATAATCAGGATCTTGTCTTTCTTGTGTCAGTGGCTTCTGATTGTCTGTGAAATGCACTTACGAGGGTGAATCAAATGAAAACTGTAAACTTTTTTTTTTTTAATTTAATTTATTGAATGAAAGCGGCACACAACTGTATCATTTTTCTACATAGTCTCCATTTCGTTCAATACAGGCTCTCCAGCATTTACAAAGTGTATGGATTCCTCTAGAAAAAAATTCTTGTGGTTGTCTGTGCAACCACTCATGCACAGCCTGCTGTACCTCCCATCACCTCTTTGAGTGGCCCAAACATGTTGTAATCACTTAGGGCTAGGTCTGATGAGTATGGCGGGTGTGGAAGACACTCAAAGTGCAAGTCTTGGATTGTTGCAATTGTTGCAAGTGCAGTACTGGGCCGACCATTGTCATGTTGCAAAAGGACACCTCTAAGTCAAAAGTCCACATTGCTTTGATCTGACTGCAGGTCGAAGATGATTCCTCAAGACATCTGAATATGAGGCACTGGTGATAGTGTTCCCCTGAGGCATGTAGTGCTCCAAGAGTAATGCTCATTCGTCCCAAAAGAGAGTCAGCATAATTTTCCTGCAGATGGCTGTGTCTGGAACTTCTTGGGTTTTGGTGATGTGGAATGATGCTATTCCTTGCTCGTTCTCTTTGTTTCTGGTTGGTGGTGGTGAACCCAAGTTTCATCACCAGTAACGATTCTCAAAAGGAAGCCATCACCTTCTGCTTAAAGGCGCCGCAGAAGTTCTTCACAGGCATCAATTCTGGAGTCAGCTGCCATGGCACCCACCTTGCAGACATTTTGTGAAAGTGGAGCACATGAATGACATGGTGTGCTGAGCCATGACTCATGTTAAGAATTTCAGCTATTTCATCCACAGACACTCCAATTCTCTATCACTAGGGCTTCAACTGCTGCAATAGACTCAGGGGTCACAACTCTGTGCGCCTGACCTGGGCAAGTCTGCCACAGATGTCACACCATTTCTGAATTTCCTACTCCACTCGTACACTTGCTGCTGTGACAAGCATGCATCACCATACTGAACCTTCATCCATCGATGAACTTCAGTCGGTTTCATACCGTCACTGATCAAAAAATGAATTACAGAACGTTGTTCTTCTTTCATGCATGTATTTAGTGGAGCAGCCATCTTCAAACCAGCACTGTGATGGCATTCTGTTTGTCTGCATTATACTGCCACCAATAGGATACTCTATAGCACTGGTAAAATGTCTGCCAACTTATAGGACAATTACGCGACATTTTGAATTTTTATCTCAGTTTTACGGTTTTCATTTGACTCATGTATTTAAGGATCTTTAGAAAACGACGATGTGGCATCCCACTGGAGGAGAAAGGAATAGCCAGGTTTGTCTTTGGTCCAGTATAGGTAATCTAGGCTTGAGGTCATCACTCATGTGAACTATGACTGCAAGCAATGCATGTAAGTCCTTCATACCCCTCTGAATCTTCATCATTTTCTTCAGAAATTGCTGGATCTTGAAGTGGAGTATGTTATCTCTTCTTCTGAGCCAATATCAGCATACTGCTCCTCACCATCATCCTGTGTGTATGCTAAATCAACTGACATACTCATTGCAGATCATGGCCCCATTGAAAGCACTGGGCGTGGAAACAAAACGAAGCATAAAGTGGAAAAGAATTTGCCACTGAACACTTCATTATTGTAGTGGCAATGCCTATTGCATCTTCACTTTTTTTGTTGTGTTCCCAAGATTGTTTAAAAAAATTGAGAAAGGAAATTACAGATGTTTGATAAAACTCTGCCACTGAGCACTGTGACATAATTCTAAGTATTACTTCACCCCCATGTGTGCTGTCAGGTTGGAAAACCTGTCAGATGTCAAAAAGGGAACTGAGAAGAAGAAAATTTCTTATGGGTGGGTTCACAGGTGAATAAATTGTTGCATGTGATTATAACAGTTGAAATCCTACGGAGTAGAATGACATGCTTTGTCTGGGTTAAACCCACACAATGGTTGCCAGAAAGGGTTCCTCAGTAAGATGTGGGACTGTTGATATATCGGACATTCAGCTGCTTGACAAGTCACTCGTGTGTTATTAAAGCAGACATTCATCCATAGAAGGTTAAAGGTAATTGAAATTATAAATTGTGACTGTTGGAAATTTGTAATCCATTGTACCCCTCCCTCCTTAAACCTGTGCTCCCATATGCTTTTGAGCAAATGAATGGGACATAAGAAAAGTCAAACACATTGTTTTGGAGCAGCCATTAAAATGCATGGAATCATGATTTTAAGATAATAAATAAAAATTATGTGCGCATGAAACTCTATCAGTTCCAAGTAGAGACCCTGGTTTCCTCTCTGTTTTACTACAACAAAGATCTTTTTAGTTTAAATCACATAGAAGCATTTCTTTTCATTTTGTATCTTTCTTCAGTTTTAAAAACTTAAGCAGAGGCTCAATAAGAGATATATTGGGATAATTAAATTCAGCATGCATGACAGCAGGTGAAGTATGTTCATGTTACATTAATGTACATTTAGATGAAAATGTTTCTAGCAAAATATATGGTGGAAGCACAGTTACCAACTCTCCAACATTATATGATCATCACTGAGCAATTATACCACATGTATAACTGTATAATGGTTCTGACAACTTTTCCATGAAGTCACGTAGTTCACTAATAGTTGAGGTGTGTTTGAGGAAGGAATGAAAAAGTATGGTAATCTCCTGGTTGATGTTTGGTGACAACCATTGTCTCATGTTCATGTATCAGTGTCTATTGTACTGTGTTTGCGTTTGAGTGGCTTTGAATAACAAGAGCATTAGTAATGCTGTTTACATTCATTCAGAACTGTAGGACATACAGAATTCTTTGTATTTGATAGAAATATGAAGAGGGACACATGGTCTGTATGAATACTAATTCTTCCATAATATATGCAGAAATAAATTATTTATGTTGTAGGCAATGGAAGAGGCTCAGCGAGGAGTGTCTGGGTTTCGAGTAGCAGAGGAACGTATGGAGCAAGTTTCTGGAGAGAAGGCAAACATTGACCAAAAGAAAGGGCAGACTCTGGAAGAAATGTCTTCCCTTGTACTGGAGCTTACCCAGCGAATTGCCACTAAGAAGGCTCAGCTAGCACCAATTATCAAAGGTAATCATCACTATGCATTAACTGCTGTTATAAGGAAATGGTATTTTAACGGGGGGAGGTTCTAATGGTGACCTGTCCACAACTTCCCAATTGTAACCAGGTGAGAATATATTATTCATTTATTTGTAAGGGGATTTCTAGATTTCCTTCTTATTTCTACAGACACCCATAATTCAGAGCTGACAAGACCTGGAATGAACATGAATGGCATTATTATGTGACTGAAACTTGATTGTTTTAAGCCAGTAGTGACCCTCTTAGGGTGGATGTGTATACATATATATACTCAGCAAGAAAACAGAATAAAAGTTTATATACAGCAGCGGATATAGTTCTATTGCTATGCCTGCTTTGGGCTGCCTTGAAATAAAAGGATGCTTTTTATAATCGTCCAGTGCCGCCCTCCATTTATTTTTTTTTTTTTTGATTTTATTTAGTTATGAGTATTATAAAATAGTAGGTTACATTAAGGAATAGTAGATGGACATAGACCTGTTTATGTATTTAGGTGGTTAAACAATTAGTTTTAACACACATGCAAGAGCCAGGCAGGAAGACTCCCTACTGAGACTCCTTAGGATAGCTGGAATGGCAGAAAGTGACCATGTCGAGAATTGTGAGATGACAAGCGTGAAGGGTCATAAGTTTAAGAAAGGGGGG